CTAAATAAATCTTTATGGGTAACTTAAAAATGGCGATGTAAGCCAAATCGTTGAAAGAGTAGCAAAAGTAATAAAGAAATGGTAAAATAAATAAAGCCTAGATCTTCTTAGAATCTAACTTACTTTTTCATATCAAAAGTTTATTTCGCCAAATTTTAAGGAAACACCTTTTGGTTTTTGTAATTTATAATACATTATAACTGATATAATATTTTTTTTCTATTTATGCAATAAAATAAAATAAAAGAAGAAATCGATTGGGATATAATAACCAAGCAAAAATAGATAACATAAATTTTGTTTGAATTTATATAAAATATATTATTTCTCGACTCCTAGGACCCATTGGAACGAATACAAGGACATGCGTCTATACATGGTGTTTTAGGTTCTGAAATCTGAACTTACTAATGATAACTAGTTCAGTAAATAGTTAATAAATAGTTCTTGTGTCTATTCTCCTTAATGTAAGCGAATAGAGAACTGAGGTGATGAGTGAAACAAATAATTTTAATAGATAAAAATAAACCTTGGAAAAAAATCTTTACTTTTCGACCATAATATTTATCTATGAACGTATAGGGCTGAGTATGGGAATGAAATTAATAGCAATATTTCTCTACTAGTAGTACTTTTGTTTAAAAAATGTCGGACATTTTTATAATTTCCTTTGTTGGTTGAATTATTTGGATGATTTGGAAGAAAATGGGGTTGTTACATAATTTAAAGCAGTGGGTCTCCAGTCATATAGGAATACCAGGCAATGAACTGGCTGATATAGTCACAAAAGAAGCATCCAATATACTTCCAGTACCAGACACTAACATTACGATTTGACATTACGCTATTGTTAGACAACGGTTCCTGGTACCAACAAAATGAAAACCATTTTTAAGGCATGAATCCACATTCACAGATGCAAGGAAACCGAAGGGAGCAAACTATTATCACAGGCCTCAGAATAGGGCTCACGCATGGGCACCTATTCGACGGTAGTTCGCCACCAATATAGTTTTAATATAGTTTTAACACCGTAACACATTTTAGAAAATCGTCCGAGCTTGGATTCATCAAGGACTTCATACCGCCTGCTATATCGACAAGCCTTACAACCTGAAAATCAGAAACACTTACTTCAATTCCTGAAAAGACGCAATTACTACATACATATTTAAACAATACAATCTTCATAAACGTACTCACAACGTAAATCAGAAATAACCCATGCAGTTGTAATAACAGGATCTTTATACAAACATCCTAACAACTTACACATCTAAAAAAATACAAACACGATCCCTACTGACATATTGTAATGTAATTGAATAACCAATAAGGTGCCTCTAACCTATATAGTTAGAGGCACACGGCACCTAAAATATAATCAAATAAATAATAAAATATGTCGGAGAACCTAGTTCGACGTAACTTTTTTTAAAAGATCAAATGAAAATACAATATGTTAGATTTTTCAGAATCCAATTTTAAATTTCCTTCGTAGTCACTGTTATAAATAATTAGACGAAATGAAAACCATAATGGAACCAGTATATATAGTTAATTGTTAGTGTTTAATGAAGAAAAGAAAAAAAATGGTTGAAATCGGAGACACACAGACTGTAATCTCTTCTTGTTAGCGTATTCCTGGTTTTTCTCGATGTAAACAAGGTTGCTTTAAATTTCAATGCAGTTTTTCAAACTATCTTGACCAAACGGAAACAAAATGTCCCAGCATTATCCACACCTACCTAGAGCTACCTGATCGGATTGATAAAGCTAGACCACACAGATCTGTGTTTCGGGGTTAGGAGGTTGGTAGCCGTAAAGGGGATTGAATATAGGGATGGACTCCCCTCCCTTAGACGGACAAAAACTGGGCGCCATCTGCCAGGCAGCCGTGCGTGCCTTGGAGGGGAAGGGACCCTCTCTGGGGTCTGTAGAGCACGAGTGGATTGGATCAGCTCAATCGCGGCAAGGGATTATCATCCAGATGTTCAACTAGCGGCGATGACTTCAGAAGTATCATTGTCATCGTTAACGTTTGGAAAAAAATGTCGGGCTTTATTAAAAAGCAATATTTTTCTAAGTGACAGCTATTATATCATATGGTACTTATATTGAGTTTATCCAATAATCTACCATAAGGAATATAATATATACATATTATATTTGGCTACATCAGGGGTCTCCATACTTTTTGGCTCGCGGGCCACATTGAGAACCCCACTAAGTCCCGCGGGCTGTATTCAGACCACCACTAAGTCCCCCGAACCATGGCTTGTGATAAATAAATGACCCTCCACCTGTGAAATGATCTTTCTAACAGAAATAATTCATCCAATAAATGGAGTCGAAACTCCCTAGTCCGCGGTACCGACCTCTTTTTATCCAATTATTAACATCTGCCTGAAACTTTGTAAATAGTTTCATCTCATCGTAACCTACAACTATTTTATTTACAAAAACTTTTGGAATTCGGTCGTTTTCAATCTGGAGGGGGTCAAATTTTGTCAATTTATCATGTACTAAAAATTTGTAAATACCCATTTGCTTTTTACTTGGATCGTAGGATAATTTGATCACAAAATCGATATAAAAGGTAGTCTACAAAAATATTTGACTGTTTGTTCTATATAACCTCAGTTTTTTTTAAATTAGAAGGTGTAGGTCACGCTAAACGGCGCAATATTTTTGGAGTCCATCTTTTTTCTCGATGTTGTGATCAAATTATCTCAGGATCGAAGTAGAAAGCAAATGAGTATTAACGAGTTTTTAGTACCTAATTAAATAGACAAAGTTTGCCCCACTCCAGATTGAAAACGACCCAACTGTTTGTAATGAGTTTTTGTAATGTTTGTAAATTGTTTGAGTGTTTTATTTAATTAAGTATTTTTGAAACACATTTAAAATTTGACCATTTAAACAAAGAATCATTCGCGCGCCGTAGTTTAAAGACTCATGGACTAGATGATGACCAATAAATCGACAGGAAATCGTCAGTTCATATATTTTCTCAACGATCAGAGAAATTTCTATAAGTTCTCATTTTTATTAAATTATTGTCTTAAATGTTCTGTTCCAAATGGAAAACTAGCAACCGACTCTCTAGAAAAGAAACAGTCCTCTGCCGCTTACGAATTGGGCATTGCGAATTTTCACATGCCTACTTACTAAGAGGACTAGACCCACCGACCTGCGAAAGCTGTAATGTGCAAAGAACTGTCCAACACATCATTCAAGACTGCCCAGTATTTGAGAATGTAAGGAAAAATCTCAATATGGCTCAGAGCCTAAAAGAAAACCTCAGCGACAACGAAAACGCCGTGGAAAAAACCTTACAGTTTTTAAAAAAAATAAAATTCTACAATAGAATATAAATAGGAAGTGTTGCCAATGACCCTGCAGGGTAGAGGCAACAATAAAAAACAAATAAATAAATAAAATAAATTATTGTACTATCGAAACTATTTACAATGCCCAACAATCTCGCTGATGAACTAACGTTTACAAATTATGAAAAAAAAATTGTAAAAACCACACTTGTGTTTCTAAATTGAAAATTTTAGAAGAGAGTGGAGCGTAATAACCATAATAATAATAATAATCGTTAATATTAGTTATTGGCCAAAATTATAGCAGATTGTCATGTTTCCTTATGAACAAGTAAAAAGATAGTATAAAACAAGGTTTGGTTATAATTTTATATCAAAATTATCGTCCATTAAACTTTATATAGTTTTAATTATTTAATTCGCTAAAAATATAATATTCTGAACACTGACTGATAACCCTTATACAATAACCCTTACACATGTTGCCCCAGTCACAGCTGCCCGGCACACTACCTGCATATGCTCTGGCAGATGTGGTGCTCTCCATGACCAGGTGAACTGCAAGGGTGGGAAGTATGAATGAACTTCAACCCCACTTCCAATTACAATTCATTAACATTATAAAAGTGTAGATAAAAAAGGGCAAGCAGAGTGGAACAAAAATACAATAAACAGCTAAATTACACTTCAACTCTTCCAGCTTTATTTATTTTTACATTTAAAGTATTATCATAATTGGTTGCAAAACGTTTGTTAAGTTGAAGTGACTGCCTCACAATCTTTACTCTTTTTTTCAAAATCATTCATTAGTAATGAGTATAGTCGATTGTCGAATAACTTTTGTGCCGCGTATGGACTAATATAAATATTATTCAAAATTAATATAACACGAATATTTAAATATATACATATAATAATTATAATTCTGGACAGAATATTATATGCTCTCAACCTAATAGAAGGCTCGTTGTTAAGTAGTTGCGAATAAGTAGTTGTTCAATAGTTACGTATTCCTATAAAAATCTATAACTGATAACATGAGAAGGAGTTAATCGGGGGGTGCGGTCAAATAAATACTAAATTAAAATATAGTAATTATTTTAATTTTTGCCGACGTTTCGACCCACTTTGTAGGTCGTCTTCAGGGCTACAAAAGATACAAAACATGTTGAAAATAAAAAATAAATATAAGTAGATATAAAATAAGAAGAAATTGTCAGATACAGAAATAAAAGATGATATAGTGGGTGACAATGTAGTTAAATATTAAGTATTATACCTTCTACATGTATAATACTTAATATTTAACTACATTGTCACCCACTATATCTCTGATATCATCTTTTATTTCTGTATCTGACAATTTCTTCTTATTTTATATCTACTTATATTTATTTTTTATTTTCAACATGTTTTGTATCTTTTGTAGCCCTGAAGGCGACCTGTAAAGTGGGTCGAAACGTCGGCAAAAATTAAAATAATTACTATATTTTAATTTAGTATTTATTTGACCGCACACCCCGATTAACTCCTTCTCATATTATATCAACGATCAACCATCTCTACATCATTATAACTGATAACAACCAAGACATCTAGATATCCCAAAGAATAATTATAATAAAAAGTGATAACCTTTTAATAGAAAATTTAATGTACCGGCACCATTTAAGATTCAAATTGAAATGCTTCTTCGTTTGTATCATTTATAGATATGCAGCAAAATAATTTTTGTACTCTTCGGCCTTCTTGATCCACTTCCCCTCGCGTCGTTTCTTCTGGAACTTGCTGGGTGTTGAGGGCAGGCTGGGAGGGCTCATCCCCAGAGCCCCTGTGACGAAGGGACATCGCCCCAAAGAGGTTCCCATTGTTCTTTAACCTGAAAGGGCTGTTTTCTTTTCTTATTTCGTGTACAGAACTATCCACGCTGGATCCAGCGAACCTTGTGATATTCCCTACTCCAGACTTATCCTTAATGTTTTCGGATGTTCTATGATTATCCTGCCTGTTGGCATCACGTTTCTTCGACGCCAGCCTCCTGATGGAATTCTTCTGAAAACAGTAGCAACAGAGGTTGGGAGTAATTTCCGAAATGCTATCACTCTCCGACAAACATATTGTCTCCTCCTCCATATTTTCCTTTGCTATGTTACTCGTAGAAGAGAACTGATGACCTCCACTTCGACCTGCGTTATGTTGTTCTTCCGGATTGGAGAGGAATCCTGAAGGGATAAGATATGTTTGCCAACCATTAGAAAAATCTGTTCGTTGGGATGAAAAATTCGTACATCTGTTAATCGAAAAAGCATTTCGGCAATTGTTTGTGTGATTATCAAAGTATGAACAGCTGTTTCCTGTTTCAGGTTGAAGATCCATTGGATTATCTTGATGAAAATAATATATTTGGTGATTACTTCCCAAATAAGGACACAAATGGTTACGGTCATTACAGTTTTGGGGATCCCGTTTTCGTTTAAAAACAAATTGACGTTTCTTTCTAAAAGATTTACGGTATTCTGAAGCATCACTAGCCATATTTTTCTTTTTAGAAAAACGGTACAGAATCTTCTGAAAGAATCCACGGACTAAACTACTTGTTTTAGCGCATATTTGAGATTTAGTTTTAACTAAGTCTGAAATATTTTCATTTGAATCATCTGCCTCACTTGTTTGAAGATAATCATGATTTAAAATTATATTTTCAAAAGACATTACTGGTACCGCTGTCATATTCCCAATTTCGTTTCCTGAAATTTGAAGACTATCAGCTGATTGTTGTTCTCCACAAGAAACTGTTTTATTTGCTATCAAGTTTTCTTCTTCCTTCTTTTTAATTGCATATTTTGGAAAGAATGAACTCCGGTTTGAAGATTTCAAATAACTGTATGTTGTTAGTCTATGAGATAAACACAGCCTGCCACTGGTACTGGAAATGGAATTTTTGGCTTTATTGTGTGTCTGCTCCTTACCCGTAGCTAAATCTTCTAGCGACTGACAATTCCGCGATAGATTGATTTCTGTTGATTCTTTTATTCCATTACCATTAAGGGGTGTTTTCAGATCGGAATTAAACTTTACCCATAACCAATCCAAAACATTTTTTGTTCCATGCTTATTCATCAGTTTCTGTATTATGACTTCAAAATGGTTTGCAGACTGTAAAGAATATCCATCAGTCTGGCAGCAATTGTCCTCTGCAGAAACAGGTTGAATGTGATCTTGTTCGAAATTGTTGGGATTCCATTGGTAACGTTGATGATCAGGCTCAAGAGACACATCTGGAATATCGCCTAACAATTCTGGTACAGAATCAGCACGATTAGAATTGTCCAATTCGTCATAAGCTACTGCATTATCGTAAGCATTTAAACGGATTTGGTCATCTTGATTTTGATTAGCTCCTTCTATTCCATAATCCACTTCATAATTAGCGACATTGTCGAACCTCTGAGGATTCCAATCACCCTTGTTTTCATTAGCCAAAGGACCTGCATCTCCTCCTCGGTAATATGATTCCCTTCCAAAATCCCTTACATATGCTTGATCAGCTTCTAACACCAAACCATCGCCTTCCGTAACCACCTCTTCGTTCTCATAGTTTGTGGAGACTGGTGATGGATGTGATGTTGGCTCAGCTATTCTACATGCTGCAAACATTTCTTCATCAGATTCTCTAAGAGACGAGGAATTATCTTTTGAGTAACGTACAAACCTGCAGTGATAAATAGGGATGTTTCTCATCTCTTCGTAACTGTCTTCTATGGCTGTTATATAATTCGGGTCCAAAATGTGAGTCAGATGGACTCGAACCTGAGCTCCTAAACACTTATAAATCACTATAAGGAGCTGAGAACACTCGTCATTGATGCTGAGGAACGATTTATTCCTCACTAGCACCGCTATGAAGTCGATAAGTTTATATACACTGACAACGTGCGGGCCGAAGTCCAGGAGAGCGTATCTCATCACCCGGATGCATTCATCAGACCTGACACCGTCATATTTCAGTGCTCCTGTCATCAGCTCCTTAAGAACACCGTTACAAGCTTCCCATTCTATGAAGTCCAGAATTATGTCGGTGGCAATTTCCCTGATTTTGGTAGAAGCACTGAAGAAGAGTTTGTCTATGATCGCCTTGGTGACCGTCCTAGCGATGGACGGAGCATCCACACACCTGCTGATGAACACTTTGACAGCACCGAGAGCTCTAATCAAGCAGCACTCATTCTTCTCCTCCAAGAACTCTGGGATAGAATCGCAATAGGAACACAACTCATAGCAGTCCGGCTCTAGAAGCGAGAAGTACTCCATAGCCAGTTCGTAGGCGTAGCATCGTCGAGCCCAATTTTTGTTTTTTCGCGCAGTTTCGATTGTTAACCTCAGGTCAGCATTCTCGTCCATTGAGATCTTTTACATTTGATAAAACCTTTAACTACAAGTAACAATTAATTTTGTTATGAAAACAGAAACCACATGTTCTTTTAATGATATACCTATATTATAAAATAAGTACATTTGTTTATTTAAAACGTAAACAGTCTAATCTAAGAGCAAGAATCAGAAAACGCTCATGATATCGTTTCATGTCTATTCGTATTCAGGTTTGTCATTTTATAAGAATATAATTTATAGTTCATTACATTACTTTAGGTGTTTGTTTATTTTGCAATTAATTAATCTATACCATTCTACCCATAAATGATGACTAGTAGATGTTTGCAAATTAGATATTGCCACCTTAATTGCGGGTACGATTCTGTGGTATAACTTTTAATTTTTAATGTGATTACTTCCGAAGACATTCTTCATTAGTCTCCAAAACTTCAAAATGGTTAGAAATACTTTTATACTTGTAGAAGAAGGGATCCAGCAATAAACGTTTGAGATAAGTAGCCTAAAGGAGGTGAACACAAGCGGAAATAAAATTGTCAGACAAATTACGTTTTTTTTTCCAATGAAGTTTGCACCCAGCATCCAAAAAATATTTTTCTACTCTTTCCATTTCAGGCCTTTCAAGCCTTAGAATGCCACTTATGAGACGCTTACAACACGAAACATTTGATGGTTTGATTAGAGCAATTTTATTCTTTAAGTAGCAAATTAGTCCACTTCCAGGGTAAGAATTTTATTTCATATCTTCAAATATTTATTGTCGTTTGTAATAGAATAAGACCTAAGTTTAAATTTAGTGTCTTACAGGAAGAAAAGTTAATGCACCGTTATAATGATTCGTTCCTCCCGGGCTATTAAAGGAGAAGACCTCTAATAGGGTCCCATTGTAGCTGATGCAATACACTACAAGAAAATCTAATCGTTTCTAAATTCATCAGTGTTGCTGATTCCAATTTCATAGCTTCTACCAACACAGAAAGATCAACTATGGTTCCTGACCTGGCACCTATGGAATTTCGAGTTGAAATGGATGCCAATAATTTCTATAGGTTCTAAGCGGTTCTATGGAGGTCGGTATGTAGGCTGAGATTTTCGTTAATATCGGTATAGAACTGCCTAGTTTTATTATTGTAATTAATTCAGAAGATATCGCTATAAATATAGTTCGAGGTACAGACCCATTTTTATCAAATTGTTAACACTCGTTTAAAAGTTTGTGAATAGCTTAATTTTTTTCGTATCCCCTACATCTTTTTTTTTTTAACGAAAATTATCCATTCTAATATGGATATCATTAAATTTTGTTAATTTGATGAAGTGTTGAAACTTATGAGCACTTATTCGTTTCCGCATGAATCGAAGATAATTTAATCACAAAATAAGAAAAAATATTAAACCATTTGGCGTGACTTACACCACCAAAATGTCAAAATCAAGAAATATACAGACCAAACGGTATAATACTTTTGTAGATCACATTTTTTTTTTTAAATCGTGATCAAATTATCTTTCGATTCAAGGAGAAAGCAAATGGGTGTTCGTGAATATCTAGTTCTTCATTAATTTGATGAAGTTAACCAATCTACGAATTGAAAACGCGCCATTTTTGAGTTTTTTTTTGTAAGTATAAAGTTGTAGAATACGTCAAAATTAAGCCGTTCACGAAGGTTTAGGCGAATTTTCAAAATTTGATAAAAAGGGGTCTGTACCGCGTATTGATTCTTTTAAACATATGAGGATAAAAAATTGTATGGATGTTTTACTTTTTCAAATAATTGAAAAATGTTTCATAAATCGCTGAACATGAAGAGTCAGCTTTTCAAACAATGCATAAATAGTAAATTGTTCTAACGGTCGACTGTACGGGTTTATAGGTTGGGCGTAATGAGGTCATGCCAAGTGTTTCACAGTACTCCAATGCGGAAGAGCCTTCCTCCCATTCCAAGAAGAAGAGGGAAGAGAACTTTAATGAATTACGCAGAATTACGTCTTCTAAACTGACGCAACTTCATCGCTAACCGGATCACCAAATTTCTCTTTGTCTAACTAAGCCGGGAACATCCAGTAATTCATAAATTTGAGACTGTTTGTGGTTTCAGAGGAGGGCCTCGGAGGAACTGAGTAGTCCTCAAGAAAAAAAAATAATTTTTGTAACTACTGTATAAAATTATGTGTGTATTAATGTTGTTTTAGTTTCTTTTTGCTTGGCAGCTTGATAACCTAAGTAGTAGAAGATAAAATAGGTGCGAGTTCGAGTCCCGGTGTCGGGGGGCTTTTAACTCTGTTATTATTACCCCGGCCGTAACCCTCAGCTCGGAAAAAAAACTCGTATAGCCTAAAAGGAAAAGAAAGGGAGAACAAAAAAAGTTTTTTTTTCGTTTATATGAATTATCTTTCAGTTTTAATATTTTGCTGTTCAATTTATTTTTATTTATTGTACATAGAGTGTGAATGAGCTACTCTATTACTATTACTTTAAATATGAATGTTTTTCTATTTATTTCTTTTACTTATAATTTATTTAATTTTGCTAAGAATTTCTGTATTATATTTCATTTTAATTCTAATTATTTCCTTGGTTTATAATATTTTTTGCCTTTGTTATATAGATGTATATTTTTTTTTATTACTTATTGTATTGTATATATGATATGAATGTACCTCACTCAGATTTAATACTCAGTGCCCTTAAGTGTGGCAAAATGTATTATTTCTCAATAAAAAGATATATAGAATAAAAAAAATTACTATTACTAGTGTCCTTGAATGTGACAGAATGTAATATTTTTCAATAAAGAATTGAAATCGAAAAAAAAATTGTAATAATTGTATTTTTTAGCAACCATATTTGTTTCAAAATGAAATGTTTATTTTAAATTTAAAAATCATCTCCACTTTTATTATCTCCACTATGATTATCTCCAAAAATCATTTTCTCCCCCCAAAATTAAATCCTGGATCCGCTAATGTTTTGTATGTACATATTATATGAATGAAAACTTGTAGCCCTAATACATACCAAATTTGGTACACATAAGATATAAGTTCAATGTGGCAGTATTTATTATTATTCAATGAATATCGTTTAAAACTGAAAAAAAACTTCCCTCTGCAAAAGTACGATCAAGTATAACAACAATAAATAATCTCAGATGTAAAAAATTACGTTATTCACATACTATACTTTAATTACATACTTTTATACTTTTATTTAATAAATATGGAGAATAAAATTAAACTAAGGCGTTGATGGCCTCGGGGTTGTACGCTTTTAATCCCAAACAACTAACATACATTACACAACGAATTTTATATAAAATATCTATTTTAAATAAAAATAATACAATACCACAATCATGTTTTAATACCATAAACCAAACCTCACCTGAAAAATAGCACATGGTTTTCCTAAAAAAATAACGTTACTGACAAGTTTTTAACGCAATACAGTCAATTTTTACGTGTTCCAGAATTATATAATAATAAACACAATACTGAATACAATATCAATTACACCTGGCATGATACGTCATGTCTATATGTCTAATTCGATGGCGTCATCTTGAATAATTAGTGACGTTACGTGTCATACATAAATAGAGCTTAGCTCACGGGCCGAAGGAGCTGCTCCGCCTTTAAAACCTACGTGTTGTAACAGATCCTGCTAAGAAGGCGTCGAACAAGGCCAAATATTATCTATATCATATGGAAATTGTTTGAGGATTATAAACGTTGAGCATCTCAAGGATTCCGATGGAACTTGTCATTTACACATCAGTTGCTTCTACAATCCGATCTAGACCAACAGTTTCCGCTAATCTTCTAGAGTTCCTATCTTGTTCCTCTGAAGAAAACACCCAGAATTCCATTAAAGCCTAGGTCGCTCTCAGACTTTGGTTTCATGATGAACCTCTACCATTATTTTCCATAGAAGTCCATTCTGTCATCCAAGCAACGTGTTCTCTCAACCTTAATCTATTAAGTCTTATAAACTATACATATGATTCCTTGTATAAATCTCTGAGCTTCTGTCAGTTTTAAGCCTCAAGACTTAATCAACCTTCACTTCTCCATAGATTTTGGGCAAAATATTCTTCTCAAAGATCGTCAAGGACTGCTCATCAGTTTTGGAGATAGCTAGTGTTTCTGAGCCATAAAGAAAAATAGCACGAATTATTGTATAATATACTTGTAGTTGAATTTTAGTTTCCATAGATAGCATGGCTCTAATAGTATGGGCTCAGACAGTATATATATATATATATATATATATATATATATATATATATCGACCTTTGAGTACTTTGACTACCGTTACTACCATATCAATGGTAACATTATTGCCAATTTTTCTCTGAAGTTTTACACATAAAGCATTTTTATTTTTTTAAGCAAGTAAAGAAAAGTAATTAATGTGCAATATAGGATTTTGTCTAAATTATTTAGCCAAAAAACTAAAAAAACAATACAAAACGTGATTTTCTTCTAAACATCTTCTTCAAACATAGCCGGATATTTTGTGATATATCCCAACGAATCGAAAGAAATACCTTGTCTTGCGGCTGCGTTTTCCATTTATGGGTTTCCTTGAAGAGAATAGAGGAATAGAAAAAGTCAAGGTTCAATAATTCTTTGACCTTTCAACTTCTGATTCAAAATAACGTAATCATATTTTTTTTTCAGGTGTTGGCTAGCATCAAGGTTATTAAGTACGTATATTTATTTCATTATACAAACTAACCTTTGAAAAATGTCAGAGAATGTCGAAATGTCACGATCATTAGTACAATATGAGGAATGATTGGAATTGAATTCATAACTATAAAAATAAGTATATAGTGTTTTTTTCTTGCTATAATTCTCCTGTCACATATAACCAGTACTTATTTAGCATATATACAATTCGAAGGTGACAAATAGTTTTATGCTGCTATATGAATACAAAATATCTGCTTAATGGACTTCACTTTTTTTTTTAAAGATATTTCTCATAGTTTAAATAACTTGTT